CTTTGGTGAAGCCCCTGACAGCTCTGTGCTACTTTAGAAAAACCAGCCAGACAATCATCCGCAGCATCTCCATCCAAAGTGAGTCATCCTGTGGGTCTGAAAGGCCGCTGCCCTCCTCACGGCGATGTTCTGTGTGTGTGCTGGTGCCAGGGGAGCAGAGATCCTGTTTGTCAGCTATGTCAAGAAGCTCCGAAGTTCCTCTCCGACACTCCTGCAGTGATACTTTCTTGTCCAAAGATCCAGTGGTGCTTCCGAGTTCTGTGGGAACATGTTGTTTCATTCTCTTCTTGAGCTAAAACACAAGTTTTCTATTTGAACAATAATCTGGTGGGGAGAGAAAAAAGCCTGCCAGACACTAACAGCCCCCTGCTCATCACTGTAACTTGGTGCCAAAAGCGTGGGCTGCAATGAACTTACTGGTGAGACTGCTTGAGGTCTCAGGACACATGTCTCGGTGCCCTCATGGGACAGTGACAAAGCTGGCTCTTACCGATGTGCTTGGGGAGCTGATACTTGCTGTAGGTGTGCAAAGGGTCAGGAGAGAGGAACTTAATTTGTATGCTCTGTAGTTCCAAAGAAAAACAAACCCCACAGTCCTAAAACCACGTATTGAAAGAAAAGAGAAAACTTTTTTTGGTCAAACACTGATTTAAGGAAACTTAATTTAAAAGTGCGGTTTGAGTGAGATCATGCTAATTTATAAAAATACTGGTAACTCGGATATACCTGTTTAAGGCTTAAGTGATCCAAATGCTTTTATTTTAGAAATTCTTGTTAGCCAGGAGGCTACAGTAGCTAACAGACCTTGACCCTTACCTTTTCCATAAGTGTGTTTGTTCTGTAGTTTGCCTGAGAAATGCTGAGGTCTGGGCTTACTGCAGTAGTGTGTGTGGTTTTTTGTTTTAAATGGTAAGTTTTGAGTGAGGGCTTACTGTCCACTTAACAACACTAAAAGCAAAGTTTCACCTTATTTTTTGTCCCAGTTATTTCCACTGATTCCTGTTTGTTTTATTCCTTTTAAAAAAAAAAAAATATATATATATATTTAAACTAAAGGCTGAACATGTTCCTGTTTTATCTTCCTTCTTTCCTCATCTGGCCTATTGCTTTATCTCTGACTCTTACTCCCCTTTTAATTCTTTACTGATGCCCTAGTGACCTTGTGTTTTCCAGTTTCCAGAGGTTGCTTAAGTTTAATGCTACAAATACAGTGATCTTGGAAATGACAGGAATTGCATGTAATTATCAAAACCTCGACTGTAACAGTCATGGATATGGAGTTCTGCTCTTGTGTCTGTTATAGAGAAATATTTTTTTTGTGATCTCAGGTTATTTAAGCTTACTACACTGTTCTTCATTGCTTCCATCTGAAAAGGCTGGTTGATGCCTGCTATAAATCTAAGTTAAAAATCTCTTTAAGAGACATGATAAAAATGACAGTTACTGCAAGTTTCTTCTGTGTATTTCTCAGTAACATGACTTCACCAAAAGATGTAGGCAGACTGTTCCTGAATGCCTCCAGCATGAGAGAGTGCTTAATCTAAAAGTAAGGGTAGTGCTGGAGGTTGGTAGGTGGAAAAGCAGTATCACACCCATGTTTTGTTTTGTTTTCCCTTTTCACAAGCTTATCGTACTGCCTGAATTGTAGAGGACCCATGACTTTGGTAGCTGAGCCTCAGGTTTTCTGATCGTCTCTGAAGCAGGATCCTCAACTCTTGGACCAATGGGCTGGTGTCTGTCTTTAGACTATGAACAGATGAGTTTTAAAATAATAATAAAAAAATTCTCTTTAATGTAATTCTATGCACCAACTCCAGGTTAAGATTGCAACTGACAAAACTGTTGATACTTGAGTCCAGTGTCCCAAAGTAGTGGTTCCTACTGTTTTTACTTCTGCTATCCTTTTTCTGTTTTGTCTCTTTCTTCCTCATTCTTTCTTCCAGCACTCAGAGAAGCTGCTTTACAGCTAGCAAAGGCTACTTCTCTGTTAAGAGATTTGTTTCTTATCAATATGTAACCAATCTTTTAATCAAATATGGAAGAGTCCAAGCTCTGGACTCTTCCATATTGCTTTTTCCTTCTGGCAATGCTTGTCAGACCTCTTTCCCCAAAATAAATGCTTCTTTATTAATTGGCTGATATTTATTTTCTTTTCAGCGGACTCATTGGTTGCAGCTGGGCCATGGTGTTTGCTGCTGGAGGCTTCGAGGTGAAACTTTATGATATTGGACAACAACAGCTAACAAGTGCTCTGGAAAACATTCGGTAGGTCATCTGACTTGACATTACTGGGATTGTAATGAAACTGTGGAATTTCTGTAATTATGAATGCACGGCCACATCTTGCTGTTTAAGGGAACACAGATATTAAGCTTGGAAGAAGGCTTTAACTTAGAAGTACAGGTCTTGTTAAGATCAGCAGAACTGTGCTCCCAAATCTCTCAATGACACTTTTGAAGAACACTTTAATTCTTAAGTAATGATTTAAGAGCTTAAGTTTAGACCCAAATTATTGAAACAATGTTTACCATCATTAGGTTATCTATAGGCTAAGCTTAAAATACATGAATATAAGAATTTTTGCATAGAAAGACAACAAAGACTTTCAAAATGGAAGTAGGTTAATATGGATTGCTGAGGAGCCCTGCTACAATTATTAGTAATTTATAACTAGATTTTTTTTTTAATTTTTAAACTAAATTTTTTTTTTTTTAGTACAAGAAGAACAGGTTGCTTGTTCCACTACAGATGCAGCTACTAATCAGTTATAGTGAAGGCTGGGAAGCATCTTTAGAAGGAGCAAATTTGAGAGCATGAACAATTGCACTGGTTTAGACCAAGAATCCTCCAGCCCTTTAATCTGTTGCCCTCTGGCACTATGGCTAAAACCACACGCTTTTGGTACACAACACAGCTACAAGTTCAAGTCTTGCCTCCTGTAAGCTCCCTTCCCCCAACCTTCAGTGCCTAGAAGTTACTTGTGTATTCAGCAACTCTAACTAGATTTCTTTAAAGTATTTCTCTAACCTTCCCTTGAACCTGTGTAAATCCTTTTGTGGCCTCCTTGCCAAAGAACTTTGTTCTGCAGGTTTACTACTTGCTGCGTGAAGAGCTGTTCCCTTTTGTTTGTTTTCAACCTGGCTCCTCCGTTGCTTTGTTTGTCTCCTAGTTCTTATGTTAGAAGGGACAGTGGCTGGTTGGTTCTATTCACCCTGTTCTTGCTGGACCTGAAATACAGCTTTTTATATGCCTTTAAGAGAGAGGGTGCATTTATAGAGTGGTTCTGTAAAGAGTCTTATGTTGCTCTATCAGCATTTATTTCTAAAGTTCAGGTTGCTTCATGATCAGCATCAACCTAAATGTGTCACCCCTCCCTTCATGGTGCCTTGAAGTGAAATGTGTCAGCTGGTACGGGGGAGTAAGTTGCAACTAGAAATGGGTTGTGGCACATTGCATCCTCATTGCTTTCTGTAACAAGGCTTACAGCAAGGAAGAGTGACTTTGGAAGCCCCTTGTAGGTCAGTTCAGTTGTTGGAGTTTGGAAGTTAAACGGCATGTGATGTCTAGCAAGATTTGCTAAAAAGGCTTGATAATGGAAGAGGGGGAAAATCTGTCTCCTACAATTTATTTTTTATTTCCTCAAACTTCTCTTTCCAGGTAGGTGTTAGTCAGACCTAACATCTCTGCTGCTATAGCTAGATGACAGACACTTTTCAGAATTGCTGTCATATCAGTAGCCATGATGAGGTTCTGAATTATTGTGGGAGGGAGTTTTGCAGTTTACATTAGTAAAGACAACAGTCATGCCTATTTTTTTCTCTTTCTATTAAGAAAATGAGGATGTTAGCCTTTCAAAGTTTTTGGCTTGGAAAAGTGAGGCATGGAATGTCGTGTGTAACAGAGTGCTATTTGGGTGTGTCTGTAATTGTATGTGCTGCCTTATAGGAGTTCAAGGCAGGTTTTGCCCCTTATGTAAGGTGTTCTTAACATATCTTATCATTAACTTGTGTATCTGGGCTGTTGTAACATCCTAGTTAAAAAGCCTAGTTTCAAGGCAGTGTAGCTTTTGTGGTGAGAACACAAGCTATGCAGTTTCTTCAAGTAGTATTTTAATGGGTGTATCTGTCAGAATATGGTCAAACTTGAACTACTTTGCCCTGATTTCATAGCACACAACCTGCAGTAAATCCCCTTGAGTTACTGATATGATACCTGTGTAGGAGCTGGAGATTGAGTAGGAGAGAGCAGCAGGGGAATGCCTGTGGAAGCTGTCTGATGAAGCCAGCTGGTGGCTGCTTCTCTGGACTTGCTGGGATTTGCTTTCCTTTGTCTCTCTAAATCACTAATACTTTTAAGGAAGTTTTTAAGCTTGGGGATTTTGTGAATTCTTTTGGTTTAGTTTTGGAAGGTACTTACTCTGTTCTAGTCTGCAATCAACAAACTTTTAGTCTATGGAGCTATTCTGCATATTAAGGAGAAACTGGAGTGTACAGAGGACTGTAGTTGCTCTTTTCTAAACAAAGGAAAAGTGGGATTTGAGTAGTAAACAACAGTCACTTCTAAAAGGAGTAGAAAGGATACTTAAGTATTAACTGTTGTGTGATTGACTTTTAGTACAGTAACTTGTAACTCATTGTTCTGGATTCATATAAGCTGTGTTTCAAAAGGGCATCTCGGATTCATTAACCTAATGAATTCAACTCTCGCACAACAGTAGGTAGTCAGCAGGCATGTGTGGTCCTGCAAGAGGACTGCAATGAGTCTGGGGTGGACCTACAGTGACCACAAGATCCTGCTTGTATCTCTATGGAAAATATGAAATGTACTCTGTAAACATATTCAAAACACTTGGTTATGGGTAAAAAAAGTAAGATTAAAGTGTGGAATTTGAATCCACTGAAACAAGTGGAAATACATATCAGGTTGTTGTAAGATCAGTAAACAAGATACAGAAAGAAAAGGAGAGTGTGTTTACGAAGGCCTAACATGGAATCATAGAATGGTTAGGATTGGAAGGGACCTTAAAGATCATCTAGTTCCAACCCGCTTGTCATCAGCAGGGACATCTTCCACTAGATGGATTTACTACCTACCTACCTGTTGCCAGATATGTGTCAGTCAGTGCCCTGACACACAAAGTGACCACACATTGGATGGAACTGGATGTACCAGTGGCATCATTAACCAGTGTCTGGTCAAATGGAACAACCTTTTTTTCCTGTTGAAGAGGCAAACTAATGAACAGCCACATTTGACCTGCTGAATGCACGCTGTAGTAACCTGCCTTGGAAAATCTACCTGTTCCTATCCAGTATGCTTTCTTCTGAGTCAGTGTGATTCTGTTTTGAATGCAAGATTGTTAAACTTCAAAATAATAATTAGAAAAACAAGTGGTACCCTATTCATGAAAGTAATCCTAAAACATACAATGCAGAAATGCCTTAGTGCATGCTCCCCCAGAAAACCTTTGTGGTTCTATGAATATGTAACCTGTTTTCAAAGTTACTGTGCAACTGTTCTAAACAGAATGATGCTGCTGATAAATATTGATTAAATACAGCGGAAATGCTGTGTTTTTTCCCACTATGTAACCATCTCCTGTTTTATATAGAACAGTTTTTGCACATATAATGAAAGACTATTGCAAGGGGAAAAAGTTTAGGTAACTCTGAAGAGGACACTAAAACTTGGATATTTGCACATATGTTCTGTGATTTCTTTCTAGAAGAAGACGCTGGTTAAATACAGTACTTACGTGAAAAACTGTCTTCTTCACAGGAAGAGGTAACTGGTTTTAATATATAAAAAACAAACAGTTGCATGGATAAAGGCTATAGCTAACTTCAGGAACAAAAAGTTGTAGAGGATCTCAGGAATTAGTCTGCTGAAATATAAAGGCAAGATTATTTTTAAAACTGCATTACTATATTCAACTGTACTAAACAATAAATATATACTAAAAGCTCTTCTCTATCTTCCAATCCTTCCTTTCTTTTCTTAGCCCAAGAAAAAATTCCTGGGACAGGTTGAAGTTGAGTTTGTGGAGTGGTAGTTGTATCTAGGGATATGGGCACATAAAATTGCTATTGCTACTTACATTACTTAGATACAAGTGAAATGCAGTACTAGTATCAAAACATGGAAATGCTTGATTGGAAGGGAAGCAACTTTGACCCTCTCTTTATTAAATAATAGAGATGAGACCCCCCTCTTTTAAATTTACATAAATATAATTAATTAAAGCAAAAAATATATATATTAATGAGTTCTCTTCTTCCAAAATGGACTTCTGCAGAAGAAGAAGGTGGGTTAAGTGTTAGCATCACTTGCAAGGTCCTCCTGGAAAGACTTATAGAGTAGGAGTTGAAATCAGGAGCATTCCAGGCAGCGTATTTGATCAGGAGTGTTACTGTAGATCGGGTGCCTTATACTGAAGCAAATACGGGCTCAGTTCCCAGACTGGCGTTGACATGGGCAGTCAAGTGCAACAGTAAAGCCCTATAGGCAGATAAAAGTGTGGACTCTGAAAAGAAGCAGTAATTTCTTATGGGTGTGAATTCTCCATTCATCAAAGACCTCACAGGTATCGAGTCAAACTGCTCAAGCTGTGCACGTGATGCAATTGCAGAGTGAAGTCCTGTGGTGTGTGCTGTGGCCATGGTTGCAGTGACCTCAGTCTGTGGTCATCCTCGGTGATAATCACCCCGAAGTCTGGGCTACCTTGAATAAAAAGTCATCCAGTAGAGGTCAGTGGTGCACTGCTGTGTGTGCAAAGCCCTCTGCTCTGGACGATAGTGTGTGGTAAGCATCAGGGGAAGCTCCCTTCCTTTCCCCAAACTGTTGTGGCGATCTGATACCCCAAGGGAATATAAAGAGGGTTTAGCATTTGAAAGACTTAAAATTCATGTGTGGGACAAACCAACCAAAATTTCAGTAAATATATTGGTGTATGGGCCAAAAGAAGAAAATTTCCTGGGAATGAAGGCCAAAATTTAAGTAATCTGCATATTCCCTATTCCATGCTTTAAATAACCATACTAATTTAAATAAATGGCTACGATGAACATTGGTGATGCTAACAAGAAGATTTTTGTTTAGAAGGAAGAGAAATCAGTCCCATCTTAAGTTCCAAAGGGTGATGATGGTGATTTTGCAGGTTAATTAAGAAATCGTGTTCTCAGTGCACCATATAATGGCTTATCAGAGAAGCAGAAATGATAGGATGGTCATTGCTGGCAGAGAAGCAAAGGTATGGAACAGGAAAC